GACCACACGACTTCGCCAAAGTCGCCGCACCAGCCCCGAGCGTTTGGACCTGAACATACGATATCCTTTGGCGTCGGGGGTGGGGGGGAGGCGGTCTCCGGTTACCGGGGGTCCGTTCCCTCAGCGAGGCGCCGGCTGCGCGGGCCGCAGCCCCACATGAAGCACCGCTGCCGGGCGCCGTGCAGACCGCGCACAGCCTGGCGTCGAAGGGGCGCCGCAGGGCTGCAACATGAGGGAGCTCGCCGGGGTGGGCCGGCGAGGAACGCGCGCACGCCGAGCCGAAGTCTGCGCCCGGCCAGCGGCTACATGGACCCCGGTGGCCGGGCTGCTCAGCAACTCCAGCCCCGGCGCTTGAGGGGGACTGCAGGCGGCGCGCCGCCAAGAAGTCCCCGCATGGGCCGGCGAGCCTTCAAAAGTTGCGCGGCTGGTCCATGAGCACAAAGCGCTCGCGCCGAACCCCGCAAATATGCCTGGGAAACCCTGCCTGTAAAACCCAAGCTCTTAACTACATGGGCTTTTCCCTGCAGGATCCCAAAAGCAGGCTTGTTGATACTGTTTTCTTCTTACTCCCTGCAAAAAGAAAAAAAAAGAAAGAAAGAAAAACCCCTAACAAAACCAAAATCCCTGGAATTGCATGCACGAAAGGCCAACTCTGTCTCAGGTCCCAGGCGCTAGATGCACTTAGAGCGAGTTTCTCCCAAACGCGGGTGTCAACACATGAGTGGAAACTGTAAAAATCCCAAAGAGCTGCTGGGAATCCTTAATTAAAAATGCAATCCACAGAGGCAGAAGTCGCAGCCCTCCCCACGCAGCGCTCGGACGCCCCGGGCGCCGCGGCTGCAGAGGTCGCTCCCCCTCCCCCTCCACAAAAAGTGCCTCCCGGTGGCCCCGCGGTCCCGGCGAAGTCTGGCGAGGCAGCGCCCGGCGGCTCTTTCTCTCGGCTTGGCTCCCTCGCTTGCTCCCCCGCTCGGCTCGCTCTCTCTCTCTCGCTCTCTCTCTTTTTTGTTCTCCTCAAACGCACACTGAGGGCCCCCGGAGGAGCGCCGCAGAGTCATTGGCTGCCTCCCATCATATGCCAGTCTAGACACTTTGGCGGCTCCGCGGCGCTGATTGTTGCGCAAACAAGGTTTCAAGTTTCTTAACTCTTAAAGGAGAACACGTCCCATTGCTGGGCCCGTGGCTCCAAGGGGCCGGCTCCCGGGGCGGGCCGAGCCCTGGCCCCCGCCCCGTGCTCGCCCCGGCACCCCCGCCCCGGGTCTGACTGCACCCAAAGCCCGCTCTCGGGCTCGCGTTGCGCCGCGGGCACGGATGCGAGCGAGAACACGCGCGCGCGCACACACACACACAACGCACGGTTACACAAACCACGGGCTGGTGGCGCGAGGGTTCCACGAACTCACTGAGTCTCGGACGCAAACGGGGTGCCTTGCCTCTCTCAGGCTGAGGCACAAACTTACAAACACACATTGCACTTTAGAGTTGATGCAAACCCCATCCCAGGGAAGGCTAATAAAAATGGGTGTGCGTGTGAGCCTTACTGGCTTGCGTCTCTTGGGAACAGGGGGTGCAGGTTTGTTGGTGGTAGCGGGATCTTCTGTGACGGCCCGAGGTCTCCATATCCCCTGAGAAAAGCCTGCCCTGCGTTCTTCCCTGGGCCAAACGGGGGGCCGTGGAACACCGTACACAGGGGCTCCACGTTTGCCCAAGATCGGGAGTTGCTGAGGGTGGGGTAGAGGCGGGAGTGTCTCCTGCAGTAGAGCTCCTCTCGGGCGTCACAGCCCTCCCTCGGAGCCAGGCGGGCCGCCAGCGGTCCTGGGCCCCCTCAAGGCTGATGCTTCCTCTTCCCCATTCCCCAATTTACTCTCTGCACCCCGGAGAGGGATGTGGGTAGAGGTCGTGCTTTCTCAAGCGACATTTCACCACTGAAATTGGAATGGCCTTGGGGACGGGGTCCCGCAGGGTCAGGGACTGGCTGGGGGGCGCGGCGGCAGCAGCGGGCCGCCCGGCGCGGGAAGGGTTAAGGTCGCTCCAGGCCCTGGAGCCGGCGCGGCGGGGTACCTCCTCGGGCGCGCTAGCTCGTCCGTGGGTGGCAAAAGTTCAAGCTTGTAAAGTCCGGATTGGCCCCGCGCGGAGGGAAAAAAGGCCTGGTCCCCCCTCCCCCCCCGGGCGCGGCGCCGATTGGCCGGGCCGCGGGGCGGGCACCGCCCTCTCTTCGGAGCACGGCGGCCCCGCCCCCGGCACGGCGCCCCGCCCCTTTCCGGGCAAAAGCCAGAGTCCGGCCCCTCATTGAATGAAAGAAATTCCGCTACTCCCATTGGCCCGGGGCTGGGCGCCATTCCCCCGCGGGGGGCTCCCGCTTGGGGGTTTCCCTTCCGGGTGCCCACGCGTACACCTGGCCTTGTGAGTGTGCGGCCGTGCGGTCCCCGGCCCGGCATCTGCGTGTACACTGGGGGAAGGGCGGCACTTGCAGGAAGGGCTCAGAACCATTTGGTGAGCTTTACCTGGAGCCAGGTACTGTTCGGGCCGCGCTCCCTGGTACAGGCAGTTGCTCTCCGAATAGAGCACCGGGCTGGGGCGCTCGGGCGCTCCCCCACCCTCATCGCCTCCTGCTTTGGCCAAATCAAAATAGTTGTCTTGGCCTCAGTTTCTTGTTTGAAAAACTGGGGAGAAAGCCTGCCCTGCGTTCTTCACAGGCCCATATAGATCCTAGGATATAGTGCATTTTAAGTGCACAAATCGCAAGGGATCAGCAGGATGAATTTTCGCAAGTGAACACAATCCTGTGTAACCAGACCCAGAAGACACCGTGATCCTCACGCCAGAAGCCCCTTTCAGTCACTTCCCGCCCTCAGGGAGATTAATGCATCCTAAAATACAAGGAGAGCCCGGCTGGGCATGGCTCAGCGGTTGAGCATCAACCTAGGATCCAAAAGATCGCGGTTCGATTACCGGTTGGGGCACATGCCCAGGTTGCCAGCTCGATCCCCAGTGGGGGGCGTTTGGGAGGCAGCTGATCAATGACTCTCTCATCATTGATGTTTCTATCTCTCCCCCTCTCCCTTCCTCTCTCTGAAATCAATAAAGATACTTTTTAAAAAAAAATACAAGGTGAAACTCAATGTATTTTCTTTTATCAGGATATTTGCTGGTTTGGCTGTTGATTATAATAATAATAGTTCATGGTATAGAGTCATTACTATGGGCAAGGCAGTGTTGGAAGCCAGTGTTGGAAGCCACAAAGATTTTAGCCATTTAATTCTCACAACAACCCTGATTAGGTATTATTATCTCTATTTTACAGGTGAGGAAACTGAGGCACAGGAACTTGCCCTTTCAATTTGCCATCGAAATGAAGATAGTGTTGAGAGTGCTAAAATGCTAAAACCAGAGGGGCATAATAAACCAGTATGAGCGCTCACCCCCAGCAGCTAGAAAGTGGTGTGTAAATCAGAGCACACCCTTCAAGGCAGTGATTTTCAAAATGTGGTCCATTGGGCCTGCTGAATCACGTTGTTATGGGGTAAGGCCCCAGACTCCATATACAATACAACTTCGGGGTAGGTATGGTTGTTAACCACCACTTTTCAGATAGACACTGAGGCACAAAGTCATTAACTTGCACAAGCTTGTAGTTAACACAGAAGCAGAATTTGAACCCAGCCAGTTG